AAATATGACTAAGCCTAGACCAAAAAACAGGGCATAGTTCATGACTTCAATGACTTTCTATGTCAAGGACATGCCAGTTGCTGCTCATCTGGGTTTTCCTCATTCATAATTATAATTTTATTAGTTTTAAGCTGTGTGTGTGCCTCTGTGTATGTGTCTGAACATGCATGTGTGGGGAGGGGGTAAACATGAGTGTGAGTGCATGCCGAGGCCAGCAGCCTTAGATCACCCCAGGTCTGGAGTTACAGGTGGTTGTGAGCAACCTAGTGTTAAGTTCTGAGACTCAAAACTGGGTCCTTTGCAAGTACAATACTTGCTTTTAACCACTGAGCTATCTCTCAAAACCTTACACATAGTCTCTAGTCTGCTAACCTACCACCATAATAAACACAAGGACCTTAAAGGCTAATGGATTCCCTGATAGAACAAAACATTCTTTACTACAATCTTCAACTATATTTTCCTAATTAAACATTCTTTCCACTTCCTATAGAATTATAACTTACTCTTTCATGTTTGCTATAAAAACAAAACTCAGAGACCAGAAGAGATAGCTCAGGGGTCAAGAGTGCTCTTGTGGAGGACCTTGGTTCAGTTCCCAGCACGCACATGGGGCTCACAACCATCCATAGCTCCGGTTCCACAGAATCTGATGCTCTCTTCTGACACCCACAGGCAGCAGGAAACACATGGTCCATGTACATAGACACAGGTAAACATCATAGAGACAAAATACAAATAAATGAATAGATCAATAAATATATAAATAGAAAGTGAACCCCAGTGTCCCCCCTTCCCATTCTGGAAGGAAGCACAGAGGTGAAGGAGCCACTTGGCCAAGCCCTGGAGTAAGCAGTCTGGTGTTATACTTTTGAAAGGCTGTGTATATGCTTGGAATGGATAAAAGCCCTAACGAGGTGACCAAGATGTCCCGTATGAAGTGGACACTGGTGGAGAAGATAAGAAGTGGCCAGATGGGGGAAATCACACAGATAATGGCATGAGAACTCACTGGTGGAAAGAACAAGCAGGTGTACCGAGGCTGCCGCTACTTAGCTTGACATGCCACTGCGCATTTGAGGAGAGCCAAGTCCAGGCATGGACAGGCTATAAATGGCAAAGATTTTCAGGAAAAAATAATCTTTCCTCCTTATAGTTTTTTTTTATAAAAGATGTATTCCGTTATGCATTGTGCATGTGTATATGTGTGCCTATGTAGATTTATGTGAACCACATACACAGAGGCCACAGTGCATTGGAGTCTCTGGAACTGGAGTTGCCGGTGACTAAAGCCACTTGATCTGAGTACAGCAAGCACTCTTAAACTCCAAGCCGTTTCTCCAGCACCTAGCTTTAAATGTATTTTATTATTTATCACTCATGCAAACATGTGTGCACCTGTGTGGATTTATGTGTACCATGTGCATGTAGGTGCCTGAAGAGATAAAAAAAAAAGCATCAGATATCCTGGAGCTGGAGGTAGAAGTGGGTGGGTATAAGCCATCGAGTATGGGTGCTGGGAACTAAATTCAGGTTCTCTGCAAGAATAATACGGGCTTGTGACTGGTGAGCCATCTATCAAGATCCTCACTACTCCATCTGAGACCTGAAATGCCCTCCAATGACCCATGAGTTTAAGGCTTAGTCTTTGTCTAAAGAAAATGATTTCCTCTATGTTTTTCTGGGACTCTTAAAGGATTCCTGACTATGAGAGTCCAGACTCATGCTGGCAGCCCCTGGGTTCTCACGCCTTATACCTTGGGCAGGTTTACTATGAGATCTCCTAGTTCTGAGGTCATCTGTCTTGAAGAAGGATACATTGTCAGGATCCCAGCTCCCCCAAGCATATTGCAGGACTTCCCCTCCCCCATGATAACACACACAATTCCTCTAATAAATTCCAAATATACACATATATAGCCTATTGGTTCTATGTCTCTTGAATACTCTCCCACGGGCGTAAAGCAATCTCCAGAGTGTGCAATAGGAGGTAGGAGACCTTCCTGAGGGTGAGCCTGGGCCCACCAACCTACTTATAAGAGGCAGAATAAGAATGGGCCTCTATAATTTGCAAGCATTTTACTTTAAAGAAGCAAAAAGAAAAAAACGCCTTAGGACCAAAATATAGAATTCTGTGAAAATGAATATAAACTTTGTGTGGGTACATTTCAAATGGGTGCCAACAGAGAAAAGAGAAAGAAACAATTAAGAACAGCATGTATTTGACATAGCATAGGACAATCTAAACCTCCTTTTAAATAACCCCATCTATTCTGCATTCTTTTAGAAGAACACAATAGAAGAAGAAAAAAAAGGCCTTATTACATTATGACTATGACTAGCACGATTCAAAGTGATCAGGGCAGAATGCTTGCCAGGCATTACAAACATTTAAAACTACGCATTTGTGCCAAGTGAGAGAGGCTCATTCTATTCTTTCCCAGCCTCATAAGAAAATATGCACTTGCTTAAAGGGGTCATTCAGCTGCCAAGGAAATAATAACCTCAGGTTTTCAGAATAAATAACACTTTAGTCTGTGTTCCCATTCACAATATCAAGATCAGCAATGTGTGCCCTGTGTCTGCAGAGGAACTCGAAGCCCTTGCACACAAGGTTCAATTTACTGATGTAATAATGCAGGAGTGAGCGCTCCAAAGCCTGCTCTGCAGGTGGTAAACATGGGAGGCAGAAGGGTGTCAGTACTGTTCAAGGTCGCACAGAGCCACCCACTCCCAGTGCACATAAATGCCTGCTCTAGCAGGAATCCAAACAATAAAATAAAGCGGCTCTTTAGTCTGGAACCAATCATTTGCCGTCCCTACACAACATATATTTCTGTTCTCTTTCTGCCAGAGTAATTATTTGTATTTATAAGGTAATTTTATTTCCTTATCAATCACAGTTCTCTCGCACATTTAAGAATTTCCTTGAAATGATATTCCACTGCCATGGAGAAAAGAAATTGATTGTGATATGTTTGAAAGAATTAGGTGCCCAATTTAAAAAGCAATTATTCTCATTGACATCTTATTTGGCAGGAAGCTGGGAGATGGGCCCAGGGCTGTATGAACAGAGTCCTAGCAAAGACAGGCAAGGGGAGAGTTTCAAGCCAGGAGGCAGCTGGTATGCTAAGGCAAGTCCTACCTTGCTGGAGAGTCCTAACCCGAATTTATTGAAGTTCCTGTCCAAGTCCCAAGCTCCTTTCGGTACAAGTGCCTGGGCCTTCAGATCAAGGTGATTAGCTCTGCTGGATTCTCAAAAGAAACAAGAAATTAAGTGTCTACAAGGAGTCTCCCATTTTTTTAGTACCAATTTTCAATTCATTTTCAGAGCATTCATGGGTCAAACCAAACCCAAATGCAGATTAGATCGTACAGGCCCCCAGGACACAAGCCTTTTGTGAGATCAAGTCCCAGCTCAAACTCCCTGATTCCCCCCCCCCCAGGTTGATGTTTTTGTTTCCAGACTGGGAAAGCAACCTATTGGCTTCTCCCTATGGGATGTCTGTTGTAAGAATAAACCTTAAACAGTAACAGAACTGGAGAGTCCCCTTGGCGATCCGCAGGGTAGGTGACTGGTTTGTCTCCTGTGACCTTAACCCCTCAATCCAATGGTCCTTGTCGGGTTCCACCCCTTAACACGGGGCACGAATGAAGCACTCTGCGAAGGCCTTACCATTCTCATCAGTGTGCTTTCTTTTCCTGGGGCATTAGGCTGACCTTTTCAGCCTGATACAATCAGACTCTTGTTCATCAGGTTACAGGCAACTTCAGATGAACTTGTCTTACACTCTTGTCACCTGAAGGACAAAAACGCCAAAGATAAGGCATACAAACGAGAAACAAGTGTCTGGAGCCAATAGTTAGAACTGCCATAACCCAACCTAAGGGAATGTTCTGCTCATGTTGTCAAGCAAGTGACAGTGCCATACGCTCACTCTTTCAGTTTAGACTTACCTAAGCCAAAGCTCTTACACTGGCTTGGCCGGCCACCAGACGACTCCACCCACTGCCCCTGCTGCTAGAGGGCCAGTTTCACAGGCCTGCACTCTGTCTCCATTTTCTTAATTCTCTCTTGAAACTGTCTTACCTCTAAGTGAAATATACAGGGAAGACAGAATATGGACATGAGCAGACAAGACACGTGGAAAAAAGAGAAAACTCATGTTTTTGTACCTTTAAGAAGGGAAAAAATACTTTCTGTTATACATGCAAGCTAGGGAGACTGAGTTAGTAAGAAGATATTCAAGATGCCTTTTCCTCATTAGCTTAGACTAGCTTTGAACTCCCCACGTAGCTGAGGATTACCTAGAATTTGTGACCATCCTGCCATGTGCTGTTACTACAGGAATGGGCCATGTCACAGGCTTTGTTCATAGCAGTTCTCCAGTTTGCTACAGACATCAACGTGCTGCCTCGCCATTTAATCCAACTCTGGCAGAGTTGGAGTCTTGGTACCAACACTACAGGGGAAGGCCAGATTTGCCAGACTTTCCTCATCCCAGATGCTCAAAACAAGGTGGACTTCACTGTTGACTTATGACTGAGGGAAGCCAGGCCAGGAGCTCAAGGCAGCAACCTGAAAAACTAAAACAACTTGAGGCAGAGGCCATGGAGGGATGCAGCTTACTGCCTTTCTCCCACCTTTCTCTGTTATTCAGCTCAGGCCCACCTGCCTAAGGATGGCACTGTTCACAATGGGCTGGGCGTTTCTGCATCAATTAGCAGTTAAGAAAATGCCTCACAGACATGGCCACAGGCCAATCCGATTGAAGCAATTTTTCAGTTGAGGTTCCCTCTTCCCAGGTGACTGTAGGTTCGTGCCAACTTGACAGCTGAAGCTAATTATGACACTTACTATTACTGGTTTATGATAAAGGCCACAGCTCCAGAGCAAACAAATGGCAGAGATTATTGGGGGCAAAGTGGGGGAGGGAGTTTTTGAGGTGCACATGGAGGTTTCTAGTGCACCACCACTCACCTTAAGCCTTCATAGAGTTCCTGCTATGCTCTGGAAGTGTTGCTCAAAGGCCCATGTGGTGAAACTCCATCAATAACAGCTGCCACTAGTGAGAGGTTATGGAACCAGAGCAAGTGAGGCCTAGTAGAGGAAGTGTGACCTAGGCCTCCCTTGCTTTTCTCTCTTTGCTTCTCGGCTTTTGTGAGGCAAGTATCTTTGTTCCACAGTGTGCTCCAACCCCTGATATGCTTCAGGACCAAAAGCAATGAAGCCGGCAAAGTACAGATGGAAGCCTCTGCGTCCAGAGTAAACTCTTTCTCTTACCTCAGGTACTCACCCCTGTGTGGAAATCTGACTAAGATCAAAGCACAGATGGAAGCCTCTGCGTCCAGAGTAAACCCTTTCTCTTACCTCAGGTACTCACCCCTGTGTGGAAATCTGACTAAGATCAAAGCACAGATGGAAGCCTCTGCGTCCAGAGTAAACTCTCTCTCTTACCTCAGGTACTCACCCCTGTGTGGAAATCTGACTAAGATCAAAGCACAGATGGAAGCCTCTGCGTCCAGAGTAAACTCTTTCTCTTACCTCAGGTACTCACCCCTGTGTGGAAATCTGACTAAGATCAAAGCACAGATGGAAGCCTCTGCGTCCAGAGCAAACTCTCTCTCTTACCTCAGGTACTCACCCCTGTGTGGAAATCTGACTAAGATCAAAGCACAGATGGAAGCCTCTGCGTCCAGAGTAAACTCTTTCTCTTACCTCAGGTACTCACCCCTGTGTGGAAATCTGACTAAGATCAAAGCACAGATGGAAGCCTCTGCGTCCAGAGTAAACTCTTTCTCTTACCTCAGGTACTCACCCCTGTGTGGAAATCTGACTAAGATCAAAGCACAGATGGAAGCCTCTGCGTCCAGAGTAAACTCTTTCTCTTACCTCAGGTACTCACCCCTGTGTGGAAATCTGACTAAGATCAATTACACACGATATGGCAGTAGAGCTCATGGTAACCAGCCCCCAAGATTTTCCCACTCGCATCCACCCAGGTAGGGCCAAGAGGGGTTTATTACAAACAACCAAAGATGTTCCTCTCAGCCCTGCCTACTCAGGGAATCACAGGGGTGTTGGAAGCTATGTGCCAGGAGCCAGGGGCAGCACTGAAGAGATATTTTATTGGCTGTCACAGCTCTAACAGTTTTCTTATCCCCTTCAGCAGGAGGCCCAGCATTTCATTTTGCAGTGGACTTCACAAATCTGAAATCTTGTGTAACCTGCAGGAATTGCCTTGTGGCTTTGGTGGGCCAAAAGAGAGGCTTCCAGCTTGCCTAAACTCAAACCGCAACCCTTAGACTGTACCATGATTTATCCCATCCTCATTGGGTGGGTAAGCTTGCTCCAAAGCCATTTGAAAGCCAGGATCCTGTGCTAGGCTCTAACCTTACCAAGTGTCGGAGAACTCTGAGGGCAGTATGCCTCCGTCTTTGCCTCGTCCTCTCCCACTTGTGATACCCATTTCCCCCTCTCTCTGTCCTGACCAGCAGCATTACAAGAAGAAGGGGGGGTGGAAAAAGACAGATTTGTGGCAGACAGAGAAAGGCTGTGCAGTGAGAAATCCAGTCTTTTGGGATCCAGGCCCCTCTCGTTGGCTACTGCCCAAAGACAGTCAAGGCAAACGTTTACTCTGTATGAAGCCCTTATCCTGCTAAAGACACATTCATAAGGGTATGATGTGTATTTTAAGGACTTATTGTGACATTAAATTTATTAAGTTTGCTTTCCTCAAATTCCCATACTCTCTGTTGGGGAAAGCACCTGGTTTATTTTTATTACATTTTTGTCTGTTGCTAAACTCGGCCTCTGAGCTATACAAGAGTAAGCAGCATCCTTGGCTTCCCAACTGGTTGTCTTTATTTTCACCAACCATGATAGAAACATGCCATTTTTGAAAATCCTGATTCAACTACTCCCCCTCCCGAGTCCCTCAAATACTCTTGGCAATGCAGATACAGTCTTAGAAATAGGCAATTTTCTACAGCACCCAAACTACAGGCTTGCTCATCAAAGAGTCTCAGGGACTTTGACACCTACATGAAATGTGTCTGTACAGTCCCACAGGTGTGTGTATGCCCATTCTTGTGTTGTCCTAGAAACAAATGTTGCTTGAATACCAAAAAGATAAGAAAAGAAAAAGAAAAATGTGTCAGTACCTTCTCCATTCCTGAAACAACTACAATCAATTCTGCCACCAGGTAGAAAGAGTCAGGGCCAAAAGGCTATTACAACTTTCAACGCTAAATTGTCCTCATGAATACTCAAGTCCTCAAAAATGCTTAGGGAGAGTCTCACATCTGCTGCCCCGTGGTACTGGGAAAGTAGATTAGCTCTCTCAGTCTATTTCCCCATCAGTAAAGTGAAGCGATTAACACATTGCAGGGACTTTGCCGGGACTGCTGTGAAAATGTAATGAGATAACATTGTGTGTGAGTCACCCCATGCCCAGGCCAGGGCCACCATAGACTTGATACATGGTAAGTCCTCGGCCCTCCAAAGGGAGGTTCTTTCCTGATTACCAGTCTGCACCACCTGTATTCTCCATGCTGCCGTGCTTTGCAATTTCCAGCAGTGCTCGCAGCGTGACCCTGCAGCCCAGAGATAAGATGTCATGGAATTGCCTCTGCTGCTCTGATCCATGGTCCCAGTTTGATATATTACTAACAGTCAGCCGCCTTTGTGTCTCACAGCTGTGAACAAAAGTGTTGTCCTGTCTCGCCTGGCTGTGAGTCCATAGGACAACCTAGCTCTGATGCTAGCCAGCCTCTTACGGGTCCTCCTGCCCATCTACAGCCCCACAAGTGTGTTTGCACGCTAGATGGCAGACCCTCAGCTCCTGAGAGCTAAAGCTATTCCTGTAAGGTGCATTTCTGGTCATCCATACAGAGATCTTGGGAGAGTCATGGCGAAATGGATTCTCATATGAACCAGTCTCTTGTTAGCAGACAACCTCACATTCAGTCTCCTTTAAGCAGTGCTGCAGGACAGAAACATGCAGAACCCTCCCTCTGTGAGACCCTGACTCTCAATTTGTTGGCATCCAATCCTAATATCAGCATCACATTATCTGAAAACACAAAGTCCTGGGTTCTGGTCAGGCCTCCTGATTCAGAAATGCTGGGCTTGCTCTGAGGGTCAAAGGGGAGTGGTTCTAAGGTAGCTTCTAATACACCATCTAGATCTGCTTGGCCTCTCTCTCTCGCCCTCTCCCTCTCTGATTCTAATATTTATCTTCCTTAGGAGTCTGTCCAGCTACTGTCTAGTTTCATTTGTTTTGTAACCACACCCTCATCTGGACAAAGTTCACTCCTCCCAGTGCTGCTGCATGGAATTGCTGATCATAGGATACAACAGTACAATTCAGATGTCCCACATTAACATCTTCAGTGTGTCTTGGGTTTTGACAGGGACTTGTTGTGTAGCCCAGACTGGCTTTGAACTTGTGATCCTCCTGCCTCTACCTCCCTATTGCTAGGATTACAGGCATGCATTAAGTGGAGTTGGCATTATGAATATTCCTATATAATGTTCAGTTTGGTTTTTAACTAGGGGTTTATATACACACACACATACACACACACACACATACTCACACACACAGAGTCACAGTAGTGTCTCATATTCTTAGTGTGGTCTACTGATTCCTACTGTTTTACCCTTTGTATCTATTGCAGATTGTTTTATGAGCAATGTCTTATGCAATGGGCTTATGAAACCTTTCTGAATTCCCTTAGTGTGCATTCCTGATTTAACAAGTGTTTTGCCACTGCGATTGCATAATTATCACTTGAGATAGTTTGCGTCTGAGTTCTCTCTTTTGTTCTGTTCTGAGTCCAGCATTCCAGGCTTCTTTGCATGCCTGTCCTCTTTTCCACATCCATTCTGCCCCTTGCTTTTGTTCTCAACAGCATCTGACACAGTGCTGAGCAAAGAGACTAGTGTCTGACAGTCTCACTCCAGAACATTTGCCACTGTGGAATAACTGGCTGGTCCTGTCCTGCTTTCACAACACTCTTGAACCGTGCGACACACCAGCATCTTCCTAACTGGCCACAGGCTTCCTACAGACAGGGCTGAGTCCTGCTGAAGCCTACATCTGGCTGTCTGACGGGGAGGGGCAATGCAGTCACTTGACAGGGACTGGCTGCATCTCTTCACCATGGCTCCCTGCATGTTGACTACCGAGAAATAAATGCAACAGTCTCCTATTATGTTCTGCTTGCTTGGCAGGGCCATGAGCAAATGGCACATACCCACTTCTGAGAAGCTATAGTTTGCTTGACCTGAGACCTAAGTATGGGCATCTCTAAACCATAGTATGTTCTATTTGCACCTCGTCTCTCTTCTGTGTTCATGTTTCCATTTATACATTTCACCTAGTTGTAGGTTAGGGTTAGGGTTAGACAGATAAATAAAAAGACATATACAGGAATTTATCAGCACTGTTTATAACAGTTTCTCCAATAAATAAGATAAAAACAGGCTAAAATTTTCAAGTTGGTAGTACGTGCCTGTAACCCCAACACTGAGTGTATAGATCAAGAGTCCAAAGTCAGCCTGAGCTATACAGCAAGATCTTTTGACAAACAAACAAAGCACGGGAAGGTACGGTTGGAAAGAAACGATGGGACAGTCATCGAGTTGCTTGCTTCCCTCTGACAGCGGTCCACAGATACACAGTTCTCATCTTCCAACACATAACTGGTGTTCCTCCCCTGGTACAAGGATAGGAACAATCCATCGTAAGATTCCAGGATCCGCAAGACAAGAAGCAAGACTGATGCTGACATTTAGACCGGGAAGACTTCCTTCCTTGGGCCGTTAAGAAAGGATGCTGTGCAAAATAATAGATGCCTCTAGTCTACATCCATGAATTCGTTACAGATTTATTGATTTACAGTCTTTTGTTCCTTATCTGAAAATATTAAAATGAAAATAATAACACAGGGGGATTTTCTTTCCTCTAGTCTCGACATAGTCCTCAGCATCTCTCTTTATGCAGTGAAAGGTTTCAACCTGAAAGCATATTTTTCAAATGAGCTTGAGGAGTCATTTTTTTTAGGTCATGACTTCTTTTTGTGCTTCTGTTAATACTGTCCATATCCACGCCCTGACAGAAAATGTGTGGGCTTGTGATTAAAAGGTTTGGGGCATTAATGCTGAATGATAAAATAACCTTTTATTTCAAATGTATGTGGGCATCTTCTCCTGTGTCATTTCAGTAAAACACAAGCTGTGTGGATCTGAATATTTCTTTTTTCCTGGTGTCCTTTTAGACCTTCATTTAAGTGGATTCTCTCAAGGACCTGCCTTTTTCCAGAACATCAATGCCTCCTGCTATGTCCGTTCCCATTTCTCATTTGCTTTGATTCATTGAGCCTCAGATGCATGAGATACAGAAGCACACATGCATGTGCATGCCTGTGCACATGCCTGGATGCACACATGAGGACTCACACACGCATCACACACACACACACACACCTATCACACACACACACACACACACATCACACACACAAACACAGACACATCATATACACACACACATCACACACATACACATCACACACACACACACACACACACACACACACAATGTCTGGAGCAGGACTGAGTGTCTCACAGTGAGTCAGAAAAACAAAGACTATAAGGGATTTGCTCTTAAAGGATTGTTAGTGTCTACAATTTAGAGCCGATAGTGGGTTATAGCCCCGACAATAAGTAAGATTTGGTCAGATGGCCACAAAATAGTCACTGTCCTCTCAATGCTTACACTCGCCAAAGCACCTCCAGGACACTCCTCGTTTTCAGCCTTCTGTCTCCCTAGCAGCCTCCTGTGAAGACACTCAGACCTAAGAGTAGGGGGCATACAGGCGCTGGAGCTTCATTTCATGGCGGGACTTCCCATCCCATGGTTTAGGAAAGGCTATTTCTGCTGAACAAGTGATTAAGTATTTCCAAGTGAAACATTTTGATGATGTTTTCCATCTTCAGCCTCCTTTGCTCAGTTTCTGCAGTTCAGCAGCGCCACCCAGTGGTAAAACATTTCTGTGTGAAAACTCTCCCCTTTGCCTTGTAAGAGTGTCTTTAAGCATCTCAGCCTGGGAAATCCTCCCAGAGAAGGAACTGGACACCCACAACGGACAATGATACGCCTGGGCACTTAAGAGATGTTCTAACCTACTGCCACCACAGTCACCCAGGAAGCAAAAGAACCTTCCAGTCTAATCCAGTTGATAACAGGGAGCTGGCCAAAATTATCCCGGTGTCAAGTACTCAGCAGCATCCAGACAGTGAGAGCCACAGAGGTGACATCTTTCACTTCACACACACATCTAAGACTAAGAAAAACTGCACGGTACCCACGAATCCACAGCCAATGACTTTGAAGGTTAGATAAAAGTGTGTACCACAGCCAGGCGGTGGAGGCCCACACCTTTAATCCCAACACTCAGGAGGCAGAGGCAGGCAGAATCCTGCCTGAACAAACCAAAAAAGAAAAAAAAAGTGTGCATCACTCACTTCCTGGGTTGTCATTCTCAGCCAAAATGTCAAAACACATGATGACCTAGTTGGACAGTGCATAAAGAAATATTTGGTAAGAATGAGAACAACTGGGAGGCAGAGGCAGAAAGATCTCATGGAGCCAGCCTGGGCTACATAGTCATATATTGTCACCAAAAAAAAAAAAAAAAGAAAAAGAAAAAGAAAAAAAAAGGA